TACATACATATATAATATGAGATGTTGGTAAATATTTGAGGCAATTGGGCACAGCCAGTGGGAGGATACACTGGTACAGCAAACTTAAAGCTATCCTAGCATCATCTACTGACAGTGACTGGCAGTCCTTTCCTGCATATATATTCAACAGGAGTGTATGCACACACGGAGAAGATGAACCCAAGTATTGAGTGCACCCTTGTGACTATCATAAGAGATTATTGTGTTAATGGTGAAATTTCTTCCTGGCCATGTGCTGTATCTTGATGTGGATGGTGGTTACATTGGTGATTTATTGTAATTCCTTAGGCTCTTTTTATATGTATTGTATTTTTCTGTGAGTATGAATACTTCGCAATAGAAAATATTTTTTAAATCAATGTTGGCAATTCTAAGGTGTGTGGCATGTTCCCATTTGTGTAAAAAATCAACATGTGTGCATACTTATTTTATCAACACAGATGATGTCTGAAAATATCTAAAAGGAACTGCTAACAGTGGCTTCTCCCAAGACTAGAAGTCCTGAGTAGAAGACTTATGTTTTATTGAGCACTTTTTGGATGGTTTTGAATTTTTAAACATGATCTTAAAATGCATAACTTTGTGTCCTTTGTAATGCTCTGCTATAAACAATCCATTAGGAGATAAATTTTTAAAATTTGGGCACAGGTCAGCTTGTGTTCTCTTGAGTCTGGCATGCAAAGGGAGATGGGATGACTTACTTGATACCCTGCACCCTCCCCTCGTGCGTTTCCATTAAGAGTATCTTTAGAGAGAATCATAGGGAAAACTTGGAAGTCTAAAGTCCTTTCTGTACCTATACTGGTCAGCTTTTCTATTGCTGGACAACATACCTGATGCCCATAATTTATTTTATTGTTTTTCACATGCAACCCACTTTATTAACATAAACTGAGAAGCTCTTGAACCTTGTAGCCATTAATAACTCAAACACTTAGGAACATGGCAGAGAGTAAACTGAAAGGCTCTCCCTGTTGCTTGAGAGAATAAGAGGAGGGTGGGAGAACACCACTACTTATCAAAGGAGGCCCAAGAAGCCCCTGCATCATCGCGGTCTCACGGCTCCTCTCTTTCTTCTGACTTTCTTCCAATATCTTCCATGATTTGCTCCAGGTCCAGCTCAGTGGAGGCCTTCTTTTCAAGGAAGACACTGCCCGGCTCCTGAATCAGTGGCTCGTGGAGTCCAGCTCTTTCTTTTTCCTCCAAAGGAAAGGCCCTATGATGAGCTGGTGGGCTCAGGCCCTTGACACCAGTCTAACTTCCTTTTTCTCAGACAGGACAATTGCTGAAGTATTGCTTTGGGGAACTTGAAATCTTTTCTTAGGTCCTTTCAGTTTGGGGTTTTTGGTCTTCATCTTGGCTGACTTGGGACCAGGCAAAGTTGGGTCTTTTTTCTCTTTTTCTTCCATCTCTAACTCATCTTTTTCTTTCTCCACACTGGACTCAGGATTGTTAGCCCCAGGAAGCCTTAAGTCTTGTTTTCCTTCATTGCTGTCAGATCTACAGTGTTGGCTCCAGAAACCAAACCAGTTAACCTGCTCCTGGATGTCTGTCTGCTCTGCTTTATGAGCCACCATTGGGGCGACTTACAGTTTCTGAATGTAGTCTTTGTTTTCACTCCTGTTTGCTCCAGGGACAGCTCTTGGAAATTCTTCAGTGTGTTCACTGGAATCCAAGCACGAGGAACTGTTTTTCCAAAAAATGTCACATGGTACTTAGATGGAAAAGAATCAAAATGAGATGCAAAAAGAAGATACTCCTCCAAGTCAGGATCAGATTGTACCATTCCTGGCCACCAGGGGTAACCATACTGCTTGGCCCAGATGCATCCTGGGATATAGACCACTTCACTCTCATTTCCCATCCAGGTCTCCTCAGAAATATCACAACAATTATAATCCAAGTCTGCATTCTGGTGACAGAATCAATTATCTGGGAGAACCAAGGGGCCAATGTTCTTATACAACCACCTCCATTTTCTACAGTTTAGAGAGGAACACTGAACCCAAACTATACAATGACCCAAACCATTTCTCTTTCTTTTTTTTTGTCAGGTCCCTGGTCTGAGAATGATTCCACAACATGTCCTTTAGTTGGTCGCTCTGTTTGTGATCATGTCCATTTTGGGGTATCTCCATTTTTTTCATCTTGAGACTCTTTCTTTCTTTCTTTTGCTTAAGTACTCTCTGTCAGCTTCCTTCGCAGAGGGTGCAGGAATTGCCTGGCCTGGCTCAGATGCACTGGTCTCGGGGGTAACTTCATCTTGCAGAGAAACTGAAATCTCTGGTGTGTGAGGCACCATCACCTTCTCCCCCCTGGCATTATCATCATCAGTAGCAGAAGCCATGATTCCTGGTTCTTTGTCTGACTGGATGGACACTGTTGGCTTTACACAGGAAGTCTCAAAGCACTCCTCAAGGGCCTTGCTTAGCACAGTCTGCACAATTTCCTCAAATTCTGAATCAGTAAGAATTAATTTTTCCTTTTCATTCTTCTCTGCTGGCTTGCTTCCTTGAGCCTTTCTTTTCTTCTCACGGCCAAGGCTTGGACCATTCCGTGTGGTTACTTTCTTCTTCTCTACCTTGGACTTTGATTGGCTTGGCTTGGCTTCAGCCTCTGGGGAGCCAATCTCCAGAGCCTCCATGGGTACATCAGGGCTACGAGGCATCATGCTACACAATTTGTATAGGCGGGGCAAACTTTTTCTTTGGTCCCTTTCCACATTCTTTCTCCTGTAGTGTTGCCATTATTCAGCTCAGAAATGACATGTGCTTTGCCTTCTGGGGTGAAGAGGATCAAAAGGCGAGGAGCTACACGAGCTGTTGCAGCAAGTCTGCAAACCCCAACCTCAATCTCTGATGCCCATAATTTAAAGAAAAAGAATTTATTTGGCTCATGGTTTCAGAGGACTTTGTCCTTAGTCAGCTGGCTTTAAGGCAGAAATTCAGTGGCTAGGATGTAGCAGATCAGGGCTGTTTAGCTCATGGTGTCCAGAAGCAAACCAGGAGAACAATGCCAGAGAAGAAGATGCAAGGAATCAGATACAGAACACAAACTCATGCCTCTATGACCCAACTAGATACACCCAAAAGTGGTCTTTACTACTCTGTTAGGTTAAGTCAACAGTTAAACTCAACTCTCATACATTCAGTTGCCGTTACCAATTCCTGCATGTACAGAAGATGCATTCCCAGGCCAGAAGGAATCAGGGTGGTGATAGAAGTGGTTGCTACCTTGTGGTTTTCATGCTATTGCAATGTAAAAAGTCATTGTTCACTCCAGACAAGGGAGCTACATCTTGAGAAAGTGTAATGCACTGTCTTGCCTTATGATTATCTTCATCCAATCAGGCACATGGAAAGAGATGATTACAGTAAGTAGGAAAAGCAAGTAGCATCTTTTCCTCAATGCCTGAATTTTTCAGACACCCCTATATGTTTCTGTCCAAAATTTATTTTAAATATCGCTGAATATACTACAGGGAACAACTTTGCCAGTTTTATGCCTGCAAGTTTTAAGCACATTGGTGAGGTTGAGTCCAACTGAATGCAACATTTAAAACTTTCCCCCCATATATTACTCCTAGAACCTTGCCAATCAGCTGGAAGTGGCAGGTGTCATGAAGCCTGTCGCTTGAGTTGTGATAAGTTATGTTATTTTTTGGAGTTAAAGTGTTTCTCCCAAAGATTCATGTGTTCAGAGGTGGGGCTTTGGGAAGATGATTAGCCACTCTATTCATCAGTGGGTTGGTCCATCAGTGAGTTCATAGCTAAATGTGTTGCTAGTAGGTAGAGCCTGGTTAGAGAAAGTAGGTGAATGGGGGCTTGACACGGAAGCTAATATCCCAGTGATGGTGCGCTTGTGGCATGCAGGCCATAGTGGGCTGTTCATAGCATTGAGATTTCTAAGAGATTTGCCATCACTGCCGTACCCTGTCCACAGCCTGCTGCTCTCTGTCTCCCTTCATCTGTCTGTCTCCTGGCTGCCACGAGGAAAACAACTTCCCTCTGCCACACCCTCCCACCATAGCGGCTTCTGCCTCACCACAGGCCTAAAGCAATGGAGCTTTGGAGAGTGAAACCTCTGAAGGTGGGCAAAAGCAAACATTTTCTCCTTTCAGTTGTACAGGTCAAGCATTTTGGACCCACCAACAGAAAAGTGAGCAACACAGCTACTGACGGTTCTCCAAAAATTCCAAGGCTTTCAAGCCTTTGCAAGAGTGGCAGTCAGAATAAGAGAGATTAAGTACTGAATCTTGAGCCTGTGCTATGTGTATTGCAGTATAGTCTTACAGGATTCATGTAGCCATTCAGAAAAGTAACGCACTCTGGCGCTTGTGTTATATTTGGTCTTGGAAGTGTTTGCTCACTTTCTCAAGACGGTGGAACCAGTGATTGCACAAGGATTTTTTCTTCCACCTTATCCCATCCATTATGTGAGCCATCCTATTCATGCTGTATGCACCACCCTGTACGTCACTTAGCAACCATCTCAATGGTCAGATAGTCTACTGTGGAACTGCAGCACATGCCAAGTATCCCTTCTGCAATAGCTTATGGAGCCACATAACAATGCCATTCATCTCACTTCACTTTATCTCATCATGTCAGTCTTATTATTTTTAATTAAACTTCTTTTTAAAAATGTATTTAGAACACGGACTCACTATGACTCTCAGACTCATACTGATATCCTGTTTGTAGTCTCCCTAGTGCTGGGACGACAGGTGTGCACCACTATGCCCAGTTTCTGTGGCCAGCTCAGTGCACCTGGGGGTGGGACCAGTGCAGCACGTGGTGCTGGGGACCAAACCCAGGTACCTGTGCTTGTCTAAGCGGGTGCTTAGTCTGCCGAGCTAACTTGCTGGCCCACGTCATGTAAGTCTTGTGTCATCCCACATCATCACAAGAAGAACGGTGAGGATATTATAATAAGTTTTGAAAGAGATTACATTTACGTAACTTTTACTATAATATAATACTATACTTGCTCTATTTCTTTTTCAGTTATTTCTGTTATTCTTTTACTGTGACAAATTGATAAATTCAACTCTCTCATAGGTTTGTGTGTATAGGGAGCAGCGCGGGCTGTTCGGGGCTTGACGCTGTCTGCAGCTGCAGATATCTCCACGGTCTCAGGCTGGAGCCCCACAGATAAGGGAGGCCGACGGGAGCCAGGAGTGCTTTGGAAACTGCATTGTGTGTGATCTAGCCTACCTCTCTTCCTTGGCAACTATATTTCAGGTAACTGTTTCTGCTTTTCAATACAGGCTGCCTTTTACTGTTTTAATGTTTTGTCTACTTGAATTATTTGTCTACTCTTATCCAGTCTTCTGATACCTGATCATAAGCATATTCCCTATCATTCTTTCATAAAGCTGGCTTAATCATTTCCAAAACTGAGTGCCAAAATGCAGCATTTGTATTTCTGCATCTGGTTTGGATAAGGATTTAAGACTTTTCTGTCTGCACAACCCAAGCACACTGCTGCCCTCATGTCTGTATTTCCCTCCAGAAGACAGAGTCTTTGAGGATAAAGTCACATCCCAACACAGTAGGGTCCCCAACTGGGACACAGCACCTCTGCCTCAGTACAGGCTGAGAACCATGGACAGTGGCTATCATCTTCTGCCATCTATAAAAATCCTATCATGCTGCGGATTTGTATAAATATTTCCTGTACTGGTGCCTGATACATTCCTTCAATCTTTAAGCTTCCTATACACTGTCAGTTAGACCTAAAGACTTAGTTAGATTCACTGTAAATATTTTGGGCAAGAGAGCTTCAGAGTGATATTGTGTAGGTCATATTAGATCATACCAACAGTCTCAAGATGTCATCCTGAGCCTTTATTACCGATGCTAAATCTGATCACTTGGTTAAGCAGTGACAGTGCTATCTGTCCTTGTCTACATCAGTTTTCTCCCTAGTGAGCAAGCAGTCATCCACAAGGGCATACTTTGGTGCCATACAAACATTATTTCTTCTGCATTTCAGAATGCTTTAGTATCATTTGATTTTCCTTGCTTGCACCAGTTATTTTTTGAGGAATACAAAACGGTGATTTTTCTATTTTACCACTATTTCTACATTGATTAGCTGGCATTTTTCTAAAGGAATTAACTTCCCAATATAAACTAAAGATGACTATAGTTTCTCAAAGATGTCCAGTCATGTTTTTCCCCTATAATTGCCAGTTTTTATAGTGAATAGTTGGGGTCATGCCAACTCCAATGCCGGAAAATTATCTTCCTCTTCCATCCCCCTCGTAGTCACTATGGATTCATGGACTTATATTTATTCTATTAATAATGATTTTTCTTTCTTGAATGTTCTGATTTCCCCACATTTAACCAGTAGTGTTTGAGAAAGTGTTCACTGTCATTTGCCAAATTCTTATTAGTCTTTGAATATGTCTATGTTTTCTGGTTCAAAATGATATCCCAAGTCTACTATCCATTTTCTTATTTATACTTTTCAAATCAACAAACCTTATTTCCAAATCAGGAGGAAAATGGTATTTGGACATTAAGATCTGGGCACCAAATGCACTTATTGATACTGAAATGTCACTGCTTTGGGGCTCTTTTGATAGCCAAAGATATGATTTTTTAAATCACAAGTTAATATTGACACTCCAATTCAATTTTTTTTTTTACTCCAATTCAATTTTAACAGTACAGAGTGAAAAGGGATCCAGACTGATAGGCCTAGAGCCACCATGATCATAACGACTTTTCTGCCCCCAACCCTGACACACATTCCAAAGTCCATAGTACAAACAAGATCAGCTGAGTAGACTGTGCTGGCTCCTGACACACAGAAAGCTTCTTAACTCTCTTTGGACAGGTTGAGGTTTTCTGAGAAGGACCAGGCACATTCTGCTTGCCCCTGCCAACTTTGTGATCACATCCATCTTTTCCTCCTGCTTAAGGCTTAGCTTGTCTAACTTCTGCCCAATACATTCTTCTTTCCAGAAGTCCCTAATAAATGCACTCTGGACAACCCTGAATTTGTTTGCCTCATCCTTTGTCACCTCAGCCACTTCTGCCTTTGACAACTGGTTCTTATCTGCATTTGTTAGAACATTTCTTAGACTTCAGATTGATCTTTTTTTTTCTTACAGTGGTATCTTTGTTACTAATAGTATGTATTTCATATCTGTTTTGTCCTATGACATAGATTAAACTCTTCCAAAACTACAACACTGATACAACATCTACCTGTGAAGTCACTAAGTGAGGTTTGGAACATTTTGCTGTCTTCTTTTCTTCTGGATCTCACATGCATGATCCATCTGCTCAACTTCATGAGAGATAACTTACTGGATGTGGCTATTTTGACAGCTTGGCATGCATTTCATTTCATTGGTTCTATTTAATCTTTACATTTTCCCCCCTTCTGGATTAAATTTACTTTTTGAATACGCAAAATATTTTTATGATTCAAAAATCAAAACTATAAGCCAGGCATGGTGGTGCATGCCTTCAATCCAAGGGCTCAGGGAGGCCAAGGCAGGAGAATTGCAAGTTTAAGCCCAACCTAGGTAATATAGTGGCTTAATGACATATTGTCTCAAAGTAATAAAAGAGAAGATTGGGGCTAGATCTCAGTGGAGATGCCTTGGGTTTAATCCCCAGTACAGCTCTTGCATGCACAGACACACACACACACACACACACACACACACACACACACACGCGTGCTCGCATGCACACAGTCCAGACTATATAGAAAGATTTTCTCTGAGAAGTTGCATTTTCGTCTTCATTTCACTTACACAATTTCCATTCATGTCTGGCTATTCTTGTAGAGGTTTCATTTCAAAAGTAGATAAACTCATGTATTCTTTTCATTTCTTCTTTTTTACCCCTAAAGTGGCACTTCCACATACTGGTCTGTGCCTTGCTTTTTTGATGTAGCAACACATGCTTGAGATTGCCTCCACCTGTTTCCCAGAAATCTTCTTTCACTCCCTGTCTCATGGGAGCAGAGGCCCCTCTGCAAAGGCATCCCATGATCCATGCAGAGAGTCTTTCACTAATGGTGTTTGGAGTGATCCCAAGAGCACACTACTGTAAAAGATGGTGCCATTCATAACACTGACAACATTTGCTTTTGTAGTTGTGGAGGTTCATCTCCGAGTTAGCTTTTCAGAAAGGGGATAGCTTGACCAAGGGCAAGTACAGTAATTTTCTTTGCTGTAATACCTGACAGAAATATAAAAGAGAAACCAGGCATAGTGGTGCATGCCTATAATCCCAGTGCTTGGAAGGTCGGGACAGGAGGACCACTATGAGTCTGAGCTGTGTAGTGAGAACCTGTACCAAGTAAATAACTAACTAACTAGCTAAATAAGAAAATGATAAAAAAGAAATATAAAGGAGCCTATTGTTCACAGGCTATCCACCACAATGTATTGTTCAAGATCTGCATTTGCCACAAATTTACAATAACGTAATAAACAATAATAAATTGTAATAAACAATATGTCAGACATATTGTTTGGAATGAAGGGTATAAGAAAATGTTACTTGTCTTTCTCTTGTTATGACTGATGTGGACATCTTTTCATATATCAAGTAGACATTTATCTTTCTTTTAGTCTGAACCATGTTTGGTATCTATTTTTTGAAAGTGGGCTGGTAATCCTTTTATTTTTGCTATTTTGGAGAATGTTTATATTTTACCATATTGCCTCGGTTATTTTTCTCATTGCTGAGACAAAATGCCCAACACTGACAAAGGAGGAAATATTTACTCGGCTCACAGTTTGTAGAGGTTTCAGTTGGTCAGCTGGCTCTCAGGCAGGATGGCATGGCAAAGGGGCGTCACAGAGGAGAAATAGTCCATTGCAGGGCAGACAGGCAGCAGCAAACAACAGCACCACGTGGCAGTAGCAGCAGCCCCCTTTCTGTCCCTTATATCCCACCCAGGTTACCTGCCTTTAGAGTAGGTAGCACTCACACCTAGCGTGGGGCATCCTTAATTATACCCTTAATCCCAGTATCACATAGCCTAGAACCGGCCACCTCTGAAAAGGCGCACCTATGACTACGTGAAACTTCGAGGGAGACATTGGGATACAAGCCACAACACATATGAACCATTTATCACAAATTTAAAATAAAAATATTTCCCCTTACAGGATATAGAGA